CATGGACCACCCCCCCACCACCCCTGGGAGCTGTCATGTCCCCAGCCAGATACCAACCCTGCTGCCAGGCCTGGTTTTAGACATCCAGCTATTCCCCTTAGGAGCTTGGTGTCTGGAAAGCAAGGCATGGAGCTGCCAAGGCAAACACCGGCTCTGGGAACTGCTGCTCCAGCTTGTCCTCTTTGGCAGGTTCGTGCAAGAGCCCCCTGTTGGGCTGCCTGCTGACTGTGCTCCCCCCCAGGATGCAAACACTGTGCCATCCCCGTTTGCTGGGGAGAACAGGGACCTGCTGCCCCCACAATGCCTTGCATCCTTGTAGCAGCCTCAGCCCTGGAGCTGCTCCATCACCGAGTAAGAGAGGGGTGGGTGGGTGCTGGCCATGCCTCTGGCCTTGCTCCTCACCTGGGCACGGCCAGGAAATGCAGCAGGCACTGCAGAGCGGGAACGCTGGCTCTGCTGTGCCTCGCACCTATGGGGAGCATTCGGCCGCGGTGGCATCCCCTGGGCCGGGGGAGCTGGCAGCTGCTGGTTTCCCCTCTCCCAGCAGTGATCCCAGCGGGACACAGTCTTTTCACAGGCACAGAGGGCTCGGCAGCGCAGTTCCCAAGCCGAGGAATGAGCTGTGTGTGTTCGTGTTTTGGTGGAGTTTCTATAGAGAGTTGACCCCTCTGCTGCTTTTGGGACCAAAGCTGCTGTGTAAATCATTGTGGTGTCACTGTGCCGGCTCCTTCCTGGACCCACAGCAGAGAGCCAGGCCCTTGCAGCCCAACGTTGCCAGGTTTGCCCCATGTAGCAGCAGTGCTGCTGGGGTGGAGAGGTCCCCATTGCCCACTCAGGACCCAGCACAACTACCAGTGAAGCCCTTGGCACAAATCCAGCTCTCATGCAACCCTTATTTACCATCGTTAATTAACGAGCTTAATATGCCAGCTGTTTTGCTAGCCTGTAGCAATCCTCTGCAGCAGTGAGTTTTCCTGATGGACTGCCTAGGCTGAATTTTTCCCCACCCATCACCACCCTGCCTGTAGTTTATTGGGGGAGGGTCGCCCACACTACCACCTGCATGCCCCCGTGTGCCCCTCATTGGGGAGGCTGAGGAGCAGGCTTTCTCCACATTGCCTCCAGGTGGGATGCTCGCTGCAGGAGAGAGCCGAGCACATCCAAGGCCTAACCTGAGACCGAGAGTGTGGGCAGAGTGAGATGGGAAGGAGCTGATGCAGGGCTGCTGGGACTGGTTAAACCTGGCTTAAGACAGGGAGGAAGGCAGCTTGGGGTGGTGGGGAATTGGAGGGGATGTGATGCCCTGATGGCTGGTGCCTGGGTTAGTTCTGGGTGGGAAGGGATATGGGGCAGGGCAAGTACAGCATCCTGGCTGCTGGCTGCTCCCAGGTGGCAGCCTTCAAAAGATTTTTATTTTGTTTTGGGGCTGGCTTTTTATTTTTCTTTTTTTTTCCTCCTTTCTTTTTTTTCTTTTGCTTGCATTTTCTTTTCCCCATGGAAGCTTTATTGGGGGAATGTGATGAAATTAAAAATAGACAAAATTCAGCTCTGCTGTGCAAGAGGCTGCAGGGAAGCCTGCATCCACCACAGCTTCCTGCTACCCTGAAGAGGACAACCTGGCTGCTCAGAATCCAGGTGAGTGATGTCTCTTCACTGTCACCCCCTCTCTGATGTGGTAGGGGAGGCTGGGCACCCCTCACGGCAGAAGGTGGTCCCCAGGTGCAGTGGGTACCACCCACAAGGTGGGTGTTAAGATCAGGAAGTTGAAGGATGTAGCAGAGCTTTGCTATCTGATATGGGGTTATCTGTGTGTGGTGAGAGGTCAGGGCTGTGCCTGCGCTGTTGTGGGGACTGGAGCACTGACACAGCAGTGTGGCACTTTGCTCAAGCAGAGGAGGCATCTCTGGCCTCTAATCCTTGGTGCATTTTTGGATTTATATTTGGGAGGCCTATGTGAACTGAAAATGCTCCTTTACTTGAGGCTTGGAAAACATCCTTCCCCTCGGGGACGACAAATATTTTAATTCTTTTTTCAGCTCAGGACTTGCTAGTGGGATAAAAAAGTTGGAGGGCTCTGGTGATTACAGACATGCTCTCCAGGGTATGGACGAAAACAGAGAACAAAGTGGATGCAGCTTTGCTTGGAAGGCCCCCAAGCCCTGTGAACTTGTCCTGGACAATTGCCCTTGCTAGGGCTCAGCAAGGAGCTGTGCATTGCAGCTTCTCACTGGGTGCAGGGCAGGGATCCACCAGGTGCCACAGTGCACTGGTGGTCAATCAGTTTTGAGGCAGCTTGGGTGATGGGTGCCAGTCTGTACCCCTGAGGTGGGGGAGGAGCAGGATGGTCACCCAGTGGCGTTTCTCAACAAAATGCTGAGGGCGCCTGTGCACCGGAAACTGGGCTTCATCGCTTGTGCTGTGGTTGGTGACACAGAGAAGGTGAGCGTCCAAAACCTGGTCCTGGAGGGGCACGGCAGGCTGCATGCACAGAAAAGACCAGGGAGGGACTTGGCAGGGGCAGGAATGACGAGGGCAGCTCTGTGCTACGACATCTGAGCTTGTCCATGCAGGGAAGGGAGATGCAACCATTGCAGTGTGGAGGGGCTCCTGAAATGCATGGAGATGGCAAAACAGCTCTGATGTGCCAGGGGTTGGAGCAGCACAGTTGGGCAGCAAAGGAAGACAGATTTAAAACCTTTGCTGGGAAGTAAATAAATAGGAACCAAAAGGGATCAAGGGATGGAAGATGTGATTTAAGATGGGGTATTAAAAGTGACCCAGTAAGCACAGCTTGCTTCCCTGAGGGCTGAAAACTGGCTCCAAGGCTCCCTGAAATCGGTGGCACGGCTCTCCCTGGCTTGGCCAGGCTTTGGCTCAGCCCCAGAAGGAGGTTAAAGCACTGAATGTAAATATCAGAGGGGGTGCAGGCAAGGATAAAGGAGGGGGAACAGTATGAAAGCAAGTGAAGGAGGATTTGGGCTGTAAATCCTGCTGCCAGTGTAGTGCCCTGGGCTATCATGTCAGGAGAGCTGCTGGTGCAGGGTCCAGCTGTGGCACTGGGGAGGAAGGTGCTGGCTCTGTCTCTCAGCTCCCTGCTTCTTGCTGCCTGGGGACATCAGGGAGAGCATTTCCCCCTGGGATGCAGGATGGGCTCTGCAGCAGCCTTTATATCTCCTGGCGATTTGCAGGCACGGTGAGGTGCTGGGGGACCACCCTGGGGACTTGAGGGGCTCCTGGAGTGTGCTGAGGCTGCTTGCTGGGAGAGGAATACCTGTGCTGGTGGAATGGAGGTGTGCATACTGCTAGTGGGTGTGCATACCTGTGGCTCCTCCTTTTGCTCTCCTCTCGCTTGCTATGTCTTGACTGTCTTGCTTGGGTAAGGCAGAGTGGTGCAGCTATATCCCTCTCCCTTCCCTGTGCCTTCCCAGTGGTGTGCTGAGAGAAAGAGCAAACACCTCTGCTCCCCTGCCCCTTTGCCTCACCTCCAGTGAATTTTTAACCAGGAATAGAAGGTGTGGCATCACCACACCACCAGACCCAGCCCAGGGCAAACAGAGCCACTGGGTGAGCACCCCATGTGAGGGCAGGGCTGGAGAGGTGGTCCC